GATTTCAATCCGCAGTAGAACAGTCACGAGCCTTTAATAGCACTAATAATTATAATGATGATGATGATAATAATATATCGATATAATTATGTCGATATATTAAATAAATACTAATGCTATGTACTAAAATACTCTTATAGTAATATGTTACATCGCATGTAATAAATAGAATGTAATAGAATGGCGTGTATAATATTTAGAATGTATATTATATTTTATTTATATAATATATATATATTACGCGCGTGTGTGTTTGTGTATGTGTGTGTGTGTGTGTGTGTGTGTGTGTGTGTGGTGGTGGTAGGGGTGCTCTCTGTAAACAGCTCGTATTGGTGACGTGCGGCTACACAAACAACTGCTTGTGCAAACATTGCTCCTCTGGTTACAGCAAACGTAGTGTCTGTCGCCGTGTGGACATGATAAATACGAGCAAATACGTCCCGCCGCCGCTATTGTGATGCGCAGATACACTACAGTTTTCTCTGGTCGTGTTTGTAGTTGCCTGACTCTCTCGAAAGGGCAAAGCGACATAAAGAGAGAGTGAGAGAGAGAGAGAGACACACGCACGCACGCACGCACGCACGCACAGAGAGAGAGAGAGAGAGAGAGAGAGAGAGAGAGAGAAGAGAGAAGAGAGACAGACAGACAAAGAGAGAGCGAGTGGGCATGAGAGAACGCGATATAGTGAGTGTGCGTTTGAGAGAAAGAGCGTGCGCGAGAGAGCGAGAGAAAGAGTGGCAGATGACGAAATCGAGCGATAGAGAGAATGGGGCGAAGACTGAGAGGAAAGAAGGAAAGAACTGAAGAGGAAAGAGAGAGAGAAGGGGAGCGAACGAGAAACAAATGAGAGTGGATAGAGAACAGACTCAGAGAGGAGGGGCGTTGTGTCTGGGAGACTGGCCGGCGGCGGAATCGTAAAAAGTAACGTTGATACGTTTGATGGATAATAAAAACGCCGGTGGTACATATTTCTCAAGATGCGATGATTGTATTTATGCGTTGTTCGCGTTTTATCGCGTCACTTTTTTCTCAGCGCGCCGATATTTTCTCGCGAGAGTTTTGTTACGCAAAGTAGCCGCTGTCTCCCGCCAAAGAGGATTAGGCGCGTTTTATGTACGCGCAGCGCCGGTGTCGGCGTGCCTTCAGCCGCCGGGGGAATTTATAACACAATGTTTTCGCACGATGCCGAAATGGGTAACGCGTCGAGAGTTGCCAAGACCGTATAATAATATACTACAAACAATGTAATCTCTATGAAATAAACAAGGCTTACTCGGGGGTGGGGGGCATTATGGAGAAATGGGTTTATTCCGTGCGAACCAAAAAAAAAACACTAGTGCAAGTAACTTTAGAATGGACTGGTGACTTTATTGAGAGATGAATAATGTTTAACCGTTAATCATTAAACTATTATTATATATTAGGCATGATGTGATTATGTCTCTCTCTCTCTCTCTCTCTCTCTCTCTGTGCCGTACCGTGTCGCACTGTGCCGTACCGTGTCCCGCTGTACCGTACCCTGTCGTTCCGTGTCTTGACGTTCCATGGCTGTGTCGTGTTATGATCATATCGCTTCGTGTCGTACATGCGTTCCATGTCATGCATCCCGTACCTATGTAACTTCGCATACCTCCGCACCTTACTCTGCTACTGCCTTCCCGTATAGACAGACGTTCGGGGCATTATCTCAACGTCGCATATCGTAGATTCAGGTAGTAAACCTGTAGCGTACCTCTGTGCCGTAACCCCGTGCCGTACTCTGCTAGCCGTGTCTTTTCAGGCAGGGTCTGTTTGCAGTTGCGATGTCGGACATCTGATCAGCGATACTACGCCTCGCTTCGTTTCGTCGCGAACTCGTCTCGCTGCTCACGCATTATTTCGTGGTCGTGTGTATTAAAACCGATATTGTTAGATTCTGTGTTTTGTCGGCCCGCCGTAGGGCCTACTTTCGTTTGGTTGGTTTGTGCGCGTGGCTCGCGCGTGGTTGTCGCAGTAGCGTCTTCTTGCTACGGTTTCTTCCCACAGTCTGAAGGACAAAGCTGCGCGGCACGCCTGCGATATATATAAAAGTTATATATATATATAATCAGATTAAATTTTAGCCGGTTAATTTTGCTGTTTTGCACGTTTTTGCCTCGCAAATCAAATTGGCAAGTTATCTAAAATTGCTCTATCGTTAAACTGCATTAGTAGTCGTCATTCGGAAATGTCAAATAAATATTCGTAAATGTGGGCGGAGAGCGTGGTGATGAAGAATAGTCGGACGTTTAGATACTTCACCGCTTTCTTAGTAATGTTTGTCTGCCTAATTTGATTCCTAAAATCTATAAAAGTTTAAATGTACCATAGCTTCTACAGACTTTTATCACTCGCATAGATTGCAGGCTTCTGTTCCTATATATATATATGTATATATATATCAAGAGCTAATAAACACCCATGTATTTATACACCCTGGTATTTATTAGCTCTTGATATATATATACNGCGCATGCGCGAACCGTCACGATCGACCGATGAGAGGTCGATGGAAGGACACGATTTCATTTGCCTTCAAGAGTTATATTATACGCAAGCAATATATATATTATCATAAGGAGTATAATAGGATCTATAGTATAATAGGACCTATAATAGGAGCTATAATAGGACCTATAATAGGAGTATAATAGATCTATTATAATTTATTCACTCCTGAAATTATGTAATATATATATTAATAATTTTAATATAATATCAAGAGCTAATAAATACTTATTATACTTATAATAGGTATTTATTAGCCCTTGATAATATGTTATGCACAGAGGATGATCATAGTCCGTCTATCTATATAGTGTTGACGAAGCGAGTTGCGAACGTAATCACGATGTAGACTCAAGCTATCNGCGTGTGTGTGTGCGTGTGTGGATGTGTTTGTTTGTTTGTGTGTGCGTGAGTGTGTGTGTGCGTGTGTTTGTGTGTGTGTGTGAGTGTGTGTGTTTGTGCGTGTGTGTGTGCGTGTGTGTGCGTGAGTTTGTTTGTTTGTGTGTGCGTGTACCTGCGTGTGCGCATGCACGTATGCCTGGATCTATTTATTCCCCGACGGTAATAGAAAGACTCGTGCCGTAGCATTAGTACGTTACTCGCGCAACATCAGTTGATTTACGTTTTTAATTATTTATATGCGAAATACGATGAGGATTGCGACATGAGGCGAGCTTGTTCTCCAATTTTGTTTTACTTATTATAATTACATGCAAGTGTAGAGCCACTCGCCGGCTCTTTAACGCGTCATGCCGGACCACGCCCTGTACCGAAATCGTAAAGTTCACTACGCTCACGCCGACCGAAACGCTAGGAAGACATGCGCTTGCTGTCGCTTCGCTACAGGCTTACCGTCTTCTCCCATCTGAGCGTTGACGGCGACGATAATGGCTAGAAGGCCGATGAAGTGAGCCGACGCAAACATCTTCGTTTTTGTGGAAGCGCTCTGCGTTGGTGGAGGCTGTTTGTCTCTAACGAACCTCTCTGTGTGAACCAAGGGACTGCTTCGCGGTGCCTATATGCGCCGAACCCAGTAGACCGTTAGTAAGTGNATATATATATATATATATATATATATATATATATATATATAGTAAAATCAATATAAATGAATTCCAATGGCTTTTAGTATGGCTTTTAATTTTCTAATGGCCATTAATTACTATGAACTGGATTGGATGTTAATACGTGGCGGATGAACAAATAGTGCGATAAAATTATCGACATTCTTATAATATATAGATCAAGAGTTAGTAATACCGAATTACTTATTATATATAAACAATATTATGTCATGCCAGTGACCAATGCGAAGGGGGGGGAAGGTGTTCATCAATTCACTGATAATACGTGATGTGAAAATATTGTACAGTGGTTTGTACATCACTCTACATTAGTTCATTCCAAGTAACATATTCTGAAATAATGTTAAGCTTCTCTGTAGCATGATTGCGTTCATGCGGTAAAGAAACCAGGTTGACACAACCACGAGAGAAATAAAATGAATTGATCGATAGATTGGAAAAGAAGAAGAAAGCAAGAGTTGGGAAAGAAATAACAGGCAAGCAGAAATAGAGATGGCAGAGCAGAGAGAGATGGACTCTCCCCACTCCCACACACATACACACAGTCAGCTCTCCCCCCACACACCCACACCCACACACAGTCACCCGCATCTCTCTCTCTCACACAAACACGCGCACGCACGCACGCACACACGCACGCACACACACACGCACATACGCCACACGCACACCCACACTACAGTTCTACCCGACATCTCTCTCGTCTCTTCACACACAGCACGCGCGCGCAACCGCGACGCAACACACGCAGCGCACACGACACCACACGCAACACACGCAACGCACACCACAACCCACATCACACCGACCCCCACACCCACAACACAGTCAGCCCCGCATTCTCTCCCCGTCATCCATCACCTAACACACACACACGCAGCATCAACACACACGCACACACCGCACGGCAGCGAAAGGCACACCCCCGAACAACTACGTCAGACGGAGCCCACTCACACACAGTCACCGCATCTCTCTCGTCCAGCACACACACGCGCACGCACGCACACGACACACGCACGCACACACCACACACGCACACACGCACGCACGCACACCCACCACACGCCACACCGCACAGCACAGCACCCGGCACTCTCTCGGTCTCAGCATTGGGAGGCGCGAGAAGCTGGCGAGCAGCAACACTCTGGCAAGAACTCAACGCACGCAGCACAAAGCGCGGAACCCGGCACACACACACACAACACGCACTACCCACACAGCAGTCACCCGCCATCGCTCTCTCTCGTCATACACACACACGACCGGCGCACTGGCACGCACACGACGCACGCAACGCACACCCACACACATCGCACCGCCACACACACCAGTCACCCGCAATCTCTCTTCTCACCCCTGCCCCCCCCCGCCCCCCCCCCCTCCCCCCCGCCCGCTCTCACACACACACATCGGCTGTGAAATCAATACGCTCGATTGGATGCAAGCGGCTAGAGCGGCGCGCCGCACGCCACGCACACACGCAGCCACCCACACACCACGCACACCCACACCGCACACACAGTGCACGTCCGCATCTCTCTCTCTCTCACACACACACGCGCGCGCTCACGCACGAAGCCCACACGCACGCACGCAAAACATGCCGCCACACACTAGCAGCGCCGTCGCGCGCGAAACGACAACGCAACGCACACACATGGCATCCTTGAGGAGGGCGCAGCCGCACACACGCACACTACACACACGCACAACGCCGACAACAGTACTCCACACAGGTCACTCCGCATCTTCTCTCTCTCTCACATTAGCCGCGCAGCACACGCGCTTGAGCACAGGCCTCAACGCACACACACGCACACACCACACGCAACACACACACGCCACAACACAGTCCCCGCGACATCTCGCTCTACTCTCACACACACACGCGCAGCGCACGACGGCAGCGCACACACGCCACGCACACACTACACAGCACACCAACGCACGACAATCAAAGCCCACACACAGTCACCCGCATCGGTCTCTGCCGTGACCACGAGCGTACAGCAGCGGAGCGCCGCGCGCCCTGACTGCACGCACGGCGCAGTCAGCGACACCCACACACGGCGCGCGCACACGCACGGCACGCACACCACCACACGCACGCACGTCACCACACCAACCGCACACACACATATATATATATTATATAGTATATATAATATAATATATATATAATATATATATTAGATGTCCTCATACACCCGAGCGCACGCTCTCTATCTCTTTAACACGCACACTCATACACACGCACACACACAGACATACGCACACACGCGCACACGCGCGCACACCCACACACACGGAGAGGGAGAGAGAGCGAGAGAGAGACGCAGACACACACGCACGCACATGCGCACGAATATTGTAAGGGGGAGAGAAAGCGCACATGCATTGCAGGAAAAATAATCAAACTTGAGCACTTGAATAATGAGAAACTATAACATGGGTACGACTCATATAAGCGTGCCAAAACATAGCTATCCATAGCTCGAACCATCGTGCGTTTAACAAGTATCTCAACCGACTGTAACCCCACACGGGCGCCTCTGCCGCCATATCGTATAGCACTACAAGAACATGCTGACGTGTTCGATCGACTAGAGTTCAGCCAATATCAGCAATACTTCTTGATTGGAAGCGAAAGTGCAAGTATAAGCCCTGTGTGTCGGGCGATTTCCACAATTCCCACTAGCGTCATGATGTCGTGGTCGATTTTCGACTCATGTGATCGCCATGATCGCTTTTTACGTCTATACCGATGGAAATGCGCCTGATTAGATATGTGAAATCACGCAATTGCATTACAATTGCATGACTCACCACGTGAAGTCTATCTCGCACACAACAAGATAGCAACTAGCGCAAGCGCGCGAGTGTGTGTGTGTGTGTGTGTGTGTGTGTGTGTGTGTGTGTGTGTGTGTTGCGTGCGTGTGTGTGTGTGTGTGCGTGTGTTTGTGTGTGTGTAATGTGTGTGTGTGTGTGTGTGTGTGTGTGTGTGTGTGTGTGTTGCGCGCGTGTGTGTGTGTGTGCGTGCGTGTGTGTGTGTGTGTGTGTATGTGTGTGTGGTGTGTGGTGTGTGTGTTGTGTGTGTGTGCCGCGTGCGTGTGTGTGTGTGTGGGTGTGTGTATGTGTGTGTGTGTGTGTGTGTGTGGTGTGTGTGTGTGCTGTGGTGTGTGTGTGTTGGTGGTGTGTGTGCGCGCAGCTGGTGTGTGTGTGTGTGTGTGTGTGTGGTGGGTCGTGTGTGTGTAGAGTGTTGGTGTGTGTGTGCTGTGTCTGTGTGTGTTATGTGTGGGTGTGTGTGTGTGTGTGCTGTGTGTGAGTGGGGTGTGTGTGTTGTGTCTGGTGTGTGGTGTGAGTGTGTGTGTGTGTGTGTGTGTATGTGTGTGTGTGTGTGCGTGCCTGTGTGTGTGTGTGTGTGTGTGCGTGCGTATTGCTGGTATATGACAGCGTCCAGAAATGTATTTTTTCCGTTCTCCACTCACGCCCCTTATTAACGTCGTAGACTACATAGGACGATGTTTATTGCGAGAGCTATCCGTCAAACCACCGCCGCGCGTACGAGAAAGGAGAGGGATCACATGTTAGCGAGCGTTTCTCATCACCTCCGCCCAACGGAGTTGGAGGAGGTTATGTGATCGCTCTCGTGCGTTCGTGCGTTTCGTGTGTTCGCGCGATCGGTATTAGCGCGTCGAGCAGCGAGCCAGCCAGCCAGCCAGTGCAGCGGCAGCTCGTAACACATACATGTTTACATGCTGGCGGAGGTATGCACTCTCCGTGAGTGCCCTCTGTCTAGTTGCTTCTGTTCTCTCGTCGCTGCATTCGTGCATTATATCGGTAAATACACTGCGTAGATTGTCGGCTCATCCCGCTCTCACCTGACCAACGTCTTCCTCTCCCGCGCATGCGCGACCGTCCACGATCGACCGATGAGAGGTTTGATGGAAGGACACGAATTTCATTTGCCTTCAAGAACTTATATTATAGCGCAAAGCAAGTCATATATATATTATCATAAAAGTATAATAAGGATCTATAATAGGAGCTATAGGATCAGGAGCTAATAATAGGACCTAATAATAAGAGCTGTAATTGGAACCTATAATAGGAGCTATAATAGGAGGCTATAATAGGAGCTAGTAATAGAGTCTATTATAATTTGATTCACTCCTGAAATTATGTAATATATATACTTAAATAATATAATAGTAACTGGATCAAGAGCTAATAAATACTTATTGATTATTCTTATAATAGGCTGAGTATTAGGACCCTTGATAATATAATGTTAGCACAGAGGATGATCATAGTCGCGTCTGATCGTAGTATAGTGGTTGACGAAGCGAGTTGGCGAACGTAATCAACGATGGTAGACTCAAGCTCAGAGAGTCTAGTAATAGTCTATGATAGACTGCTTGAAGGCTATGTGAGCGATCGCCCGATGTCCACCATTAGTAACCTGCCCGCACATGGACTCAAGTGAAAGAAAAATACACTCGGCGACCGCACAACCACCTACGGGAGGTCTCTGCACGAGCCGCGCGGGACCAGAAAGTGAGCAAATCACAGCGAGAGACCGGACGATAGACCAGTGGCGTAGCCGAGGAATGATTTAAGTAACAGGGGAGCGGGGAAACAGCGAACTGAGCAATATAGTAGATGACTTAAATATTTTAATGGTTTCCTCCGCCTCCCTACTTCACACCCTATGCCCCCCCGCCTCCTAAGTTCTGCAATCTTTTGAGTTTGTACTGGCGCCACGTGGTACAAAAGGGCCGACATTGTGTTCGTGTTCTCTGGTCCCCTAGATATGTAACTGTTCAGTGGCGGATCA